CCCCCCAAGCCGGGGCCTTACCGCCTCATCAGCTCGCATCAGCAGCATCGTTCAATCGCAAAAGCAGCAGCCACAAGTACAGAAGAGCCGCGGAGCGACCGACTGTAGCGAGAGGAGGCGCCACTCAGCCGCGCAAGTCGATCCCCGCCGACGCCATGCTGGTGGGAACGCTGCTGGCCGCGTGGCTGGCCGTCACCGTCGCCTCGGGTGAGTGACAACACCACGCAGACACCAGCTTTGTAAAATAAGAAAAAAAAAACAACAACAAGCAAACCTTTGATTGAGTTGTCTTTCACTGTGACAAAAATGTTCGTGAATTGACGAGGGCTAACTGGTATTTTTTTTTCTTTACAAGTTATTCCTGTACTTTTACAGAGCGTATTCGTAAACTAAGTATTTTCTTGTGCTTTCCTTCGGCAAATTGCGAGAGCTGCACGCGCGCCTGTGAGACTCGGGGTAGGCCACCCCGCAATACACGCATGCACTGCAGAGAATATATTGCCTGCCTACCAGGCGCTATGAGAGCCTTCACGGGCTGAACTCGGTAGCTTAGTCGAGTCGAATGACGGGCTTACTTTCTGGAGGATCTCTTTGTCGCGTAAAATATCAATGATTACTTGTATTTTTGTTGTTGTTTTAATATTTAAGTTCCCTTGCGGACTACAATTTCGTGATTGACTCTCAACAATCGATAAAACGTGTATATTATGGTGGTTAGTCACACTTTCAGTGCTGCTGTGTATCCTTGATGTTGGAGAAAACCAGCAAATAGTGGCGACAATGTGGCCACGCCGCACTGAACGTATTCAAGGGTGTCTTGTTCTGTTGTGAAGAGTGTATGCCAGTGACATTTTGAGCTCATTTTGACGTCAGAATGACTCCCTTGATGTCAATTGCTTGAAGTAGTTTTGACATATTTCTGGTCACTGGGGTATCCGGTTCGACTCGACACCCGTGGTTTCGAGTTTCGACGCCTCAAAATGCGTACACCCAGATAAGCCCGTTCATAGCACTCGAACGCACGACCATGTGGTACAGTCTTCCTTCGAAAGTAGGGCGGGGCCAAATCTGCCGCCGGGCACTAACCCCTTGTGGGCTGTGTACCAATGCAAATTGAGATTTTTCTAAGCGTCTATCCTTGACTGAACGCAAACACACTTCTTTTGTGCGTAGAGCGAGAGCTTTTTTGGGGGTGTACACTTCTTTTTTTGCTCTTTCCTGATGCGGGAATTCCCCTCGAAACGTCTCCCGCAGCCGCTGCGCGGCGAGGACCCGCTGCTGGCTCTCCCCATCCGGGATGACGGCGGTGGCGACGGCCACGGCGGCGGCCAGGCCATACACAAAGATTTGCATCCAGTCACGCTGCTCGCGCTCGGCAAGTCCGAGCCCATCTAATACGTCAGGAGGGGCCCATCGCAGGATCCGGGACCTCGGATCCACTTTGTGCTGTTCCGTTCGCGGGCCCCTCGAGGAGCACACAATAGGTCACGTTGGGGATTTCGGCTGAGCGAGAAAGAGAGAGAGGGAGAGAGAGAAGGCGACTCGTGGTGGTTTTGTCTCTCTCGCACTGGCGGTCGCCGCCGTACGGGGGGGAAAAACCGAATTCGAGGCCGACGCCGCTGCGGGCGCTGGCGCTCGAGTTGAACGGCGAGGGTTCGAGCACCAATTATCGACGACACAAACTGCGGCTGCCTTTTTAGCAGACGGAGCATCAGCAGCAGGGCGGCGTAACGTAACGCGTAAGAAAAACGATTAAAAACGACAACAAAATTGCAACTTCAATGAGTTCTTGAATTGTTTTCGAAAATTTTCCCGTTTTCTCACGTAATGCGCCCTTAGGAAACTACGGGAAACTGAAAACGCTTTTAAATTACAATTCTACTTTCGGTTCAGAGCGTTTTTGTTTCGGCGTTACGTTAAGCGACGCCCTGATCAGCAGCTAGATAAGAAAATAATTTATGTGATTTCGGCACGGCTGGGAATTCATTGAAACATAAAAACTGAGCAGCGTCTTTTGTGTCGGTCCCCCTTTTCCAGGCGCCAAGATCCCCGTGGACGATGAGGAGCCGAAGGGATGCGCCTTCCGCGGCCAGGTGTACGCCGTGGGCGAGCGGTGGGCGACGGGCCCGCCCAACAAGTGCGCCAAGTACATCTGCGAGGGCGACGACCAGATCGCCGCCGTCACGTGAGTTGGGTTCACTCTAAATTCAAGCTTACACCAAAGTTTCTGTTTCTTTCGTAAT